CAGCGTACATACATTGTAGACGCAACTGTACAAACCCATGATTTATAGGAAAAAAACAACATTCCTCTTAACCATTAAAGTCACTTGATGGATTCATTAAATTTATCTTAACTTTATACTGTAGAAGTGAGGATCTAAATAATGATATCATTTCCTCTTCCTCATTCGTCTTTTCGCTCTCCTCTACCTCATTTTTTTTCATCAAAACGTTAAGGCTTTTTCATTCAAAATAACATTTTTTTGGTAATTTTGAATGATTTGAGATAAAATGAGATAAGAATCATCTCAATAACTTTATAGCTTTAAGAAAAGTTCAACATCTTTCTTAAAAGATGGCGTATAGGTAATTCGAAATTTTGTGAGGGTTTAAGTGATAGAAAGTTTCATTCATAATATTTTTATGATTTTAAATTCATATTATTTCATCCTTTGATCTTGTGTTTGATTAGAAATTCATTTTGATGATTTTTTATTAGTAAAAGAGATAGAAAACCTTCAAGTGTAATAGATAAGGAAAAAGTCTATGCACTTTAAAGAAGTTCACCAATCGACGCCAACATTTTAAATGTTGAAAAGTTAGCCCTCATTTTAGGTGTGACAACTGAGATACCTCCGCTCATTCTGCAATATCTCTATAAGGGCATTGAGTACCTCTACCCTGGCTTACAGAATCCACCAAAGGGTCAAATTGTCTCTACTCCAATAATAAGAGTTCATCTGTTGTATCTTGAAGAGTGTCAAGATGACTTTGCCCTAGAGAGGGGAATCAACTCATTACTTCTACTAAGGCGAAGATGTCTTTGTCCGTTCTACATTTTTGGATAGTAGATATTATCCGATCCGAAAATTTGGATATCTAAAAATTTAGATCACCAAAATTGTGATTCGCATCTAATCCAAAAAAATTGGTAATCTAAACTTTCGGATATCTAGATTTTTTTTATCAAATATCCATATATCCAAATCTGAATATAAACTTTAATTTATTGAATAATAAAAATATTTTATAACTTTATACAATATATTTTATACCTATACTATATATTTATCAAAACATACTTGAATAATTATAAAATAAATATTTAATATCTTATTTAAAGGTTTGAAACATAAATAATTTAAAAGTTTAAATGATTTAAAAGTTGAAAAAAAAACAGGTTGATTGGGTAGAGGCATTGGGACTGGGGTGAGGGCTAGGGCTAGAGGTTGGGGGTTAGAATTATTGAGCCTGAATAAAATCATTTAAAGTTCCATTTTTTTTTTGAATTTTCAAATTATCTAAAACTGAAATTTCATCGATTCATTTTTGATCTGATTACCCAGTTTTTTTCTCAAATGACTGGTTTAAATTATCTGAAAATTAAAAAAAACGAATCAAATATCCAAATTTTAGATCATATCAACGAATCAAATCGGTCGGATCAGATTTTTTTTTTGTATACCCTTATTTTGTTGTGTTTTTCTAGAGTGTAGAAATGCCTCTGCTCATTTTGTAGTTTCTCTCGAAGGGCGTCGAGTTACCTCCTCTTTGGTCTGGCCCAGAGCATTGAGATACATTCGCTTCACTCTAATTAAAGAAACTTTCATAATATCTCTTTATTGTCTGGATAAGAGAGAGTTAAAATGTCATCGTTCTAACAATAGGAGTCTCTCATTTGTTGCTCAGAAAAAGTTAAGATGACTCTACCCCTTTTTATATAATTTCTCTAGAGAACATCGAGATCTTTCGATATATATTTAGTATTGACATGCCTCTGTTTCTCATGCAATATTTCTCTGAGGATGTCAAGTTGTTTCCCACTCTAACTACTCTAGCTTAAGAAACCCTTCAAAAAATGTTGAGATGTCTCTACTCTAATGAAATTAATTTTTCATTGATTTGCATCGAGATGCTTTTGTCCTAGCAAGGGGAAGTCTTTCATTGCTTCTGCTCATTCTTTATTGTTTCTATATGAGCGTAGAGATGCCCCCACTAGAGCTGTAAACGAGTCAAGTTGATCTAGTATTACTAAGTTTGACTCAACTTGAAAACGTTAGAATGAAGTTAGACTAGGCTCAAAAGCTTATGAGCCTAAAATATTCGAGCTCGACTCGAAATCGAAATCATGAATTAAAGCTCGAAAAATCTTGAAAAGACTTGAAATAAAAAAATCTTAAATTTAACTCGGGTGAAGCTCAAACTCAAACTTGAACCTTAAATACATGAAAACCTTATACTACAATTTTTTTAAAACACATAAATGTTAATATTATTAAGGCTTAAGTATACAAAAGGTGTCCAACCTATGCCATTTTTTCCAGTTTAGTGCCTAACGTTTATTTATTTCCTAACGTTTGTTTCGTTACAGGTTGGTGTCTAACATTTCATCCTGTTACTTAAATTAGGTCAAGCTTTGACATACCATTAATTTTGGTCGTTAACACATTAAAAATATCAGCTGGCATATTTTTTAATATTAAAAAATGATATTACCCACCAAAAAAACACCAAACCCATTTAACCCCAAAAACACCTACTAATTTCAAAAACCTCCTCCTTCACTACCACCACCATAATGCACAACAACAAACACCAACTATCGCCAACACCACTTCCATATACCTCCAATGACTCCGCAGCAACCACTGCCTCAAAAGATAACACCAAAACCATTCTTTACATAATATTATCCACCGCCATCTTTTCCCTCCTCTTCATTTTCTCCCTCCCTTCCCTTACCTCCTCCCAAGCAAATGGAATCACTTTTTACTGCTGTTTTTTGCCTTGATTTGATCTGAATTGGCATAGTCTTCGTTGATTTACAAAGAATAAAAAGATTGCATAGTGAAGAAAAAGAACATTGCATGGTCGTTATTGTGTTGAGTTAAGATCAAAGGAGTGGAACAAAGGAAGAAGAGGAAGAATAGTTGGTATGGTTTAAAAACAAAATGTCCAAGACTAATTTAAGGTTCTTGAATTCAATTTTTTTTTAAAAAAAAGTGGGGAAGGGAAAGAGAGAGAAAGAAACATTATGCACCATACTGGAACGAAATAATTTCTTCTTTTCAGAAATCATTTTTTAATATTAAAATATATGGCAGGCGGCATTTTTAATGGGTTAACGACCAAACTTAACGTTCCGTCTCTGCTTGACCCATTTTGAGTAATAAAATGAAACGTTAGGCACCAAACTGGAACGAAATAAACGTTAGGCACTAAACTGGAAAAACAGGGCATAGATTGGGCACCTTTTGTATACTTAAGACATTATTATTGATTTATTTTTTAAAAAAATCAATATAATATTTTTTAGTTGCTCGCGAGCTTTCCGATTCAAGTATCAAGTAGTTTATTTCGTCTCATTAAGAACTTGAGTCGAGTCCGATTAAATAAAATATTTTATCAAGTTTTGATCTAGTCGAGTTCGAGTAGCTCACGATATCTCTCGTCTCATTTACAATAATAGCCCCCACTCATTCTTCAGTTTATCTTCAAGGGCGTGGAGTTGTCTTCTCTCTAGCCAAGAGCATTGAGATGTTTCTGCCAGGGTTTTAAAAAACGGTCTGCGACCGCAATTTCGGTCGCGATATAGCAGTTTCGCCGCCGTTCGAGTTACCCGCGACGAATGCAATCACGATAAATTCGTAATAGCCGAAAATGCGACCGCGATTTGAAACCCTGGTCTCTACTATACTCTAATTAAAGAAATTCCCCGCTGTCTTTCTATCATCCAGCCAAAGAAAGTTGTGATTCATTCGTTATAGCTATAGGAATTTATCTATTGCTCCTACAAAGTATCGAGATGTTTCCGCTCTCTATTACCTCTTCAAGAGTGTCTAGACCCTCTGCTACATCTCTAGAATTTAGATGTCTCCTCTCAATTTCTCTCATTGTCTCGTCAAAGCATCGAGAATTCTCTGGTCTGTTGAAACAACTTTGCTCAATATATTTTAACAGTAAAAGTCCTCTTACGTAATTCTCAGTGAAAGTCACTTTATGACATTCCTTTGATCAATGGAGGACAAGCGTTATACCTCCTTCGGACCTACTCCACAAGTCTTACCTCTGTTACTATTCTTTCGAAGTTCATCAAAGCCTCTAGAATTTTATATACTCTGACCAACTACGATCCCTTGACATGATTATTGATAGGTCCACATGATGTATTGACAATCATATCTATTTGTCCTGTCAACCTATAAATAGTTTTCATCACCTTAAGTGTAACATCAACATTAAAGATTTCTATATAAACCATCATGCAAGATTGTGATAGGTATAGATTCTCTCTCTATATATAAGGATCCCATTGTCCACCCATCATTTTTTTTCTCATCCATTTTCATTTTTTCCTCCATAAAATCATTGGTTGTGTCGCTACGATTTTCATCCAAAATAAAAGGATAAATCGTTAAAATCTGTCACAATCTCATATATTTTTTTTCTCAACAGACACTTTAAGGAAAAAAATAGTTTAGATATTTATTTTATAAATAAGTCAAAAATATTTTAATAAGGATTATGAAACTCGTCTTAGTGATAATTGTGAGTCTGCAAATGCTTTGGGTGGGAGCATGTGCTTTTTCCGAAGTTTTCAATGAGAGAAGACATCAGCTTATCTGGAAGCATCAACATTCAGACCGCTTTTCATACTGTTACAGAACTTAAATCATTTTTATATTGACATTAGAGGTTGTTAGGCAGTGGATTTGTCAGTGGATTCACCTAACGCATGTTAAAATTTTCAATGCAGAAATCATTCTTACCTACTCTTTAAGTAAATTATCAGAAAACAATGTCGGATCTTATTTCGATTCTTTTATGCGATCTGCTGCTTTTTCCAACTCCCAATACAAAATTACACACACAGTTAAATGGCCAGTAACAAAGTATACACAACACACACATGCATGTTCCTTTATAGACTTTAAGCATACAAAACAGTTTGCAAAGATCTGAAGATCAGCAAAGCTGCTATGAATTGCTGAAATATACTCTCTTTTTTTATCTTTTTCAAGGTGATACAAAATGATCCCATAATCAGTTAAAGCAAAATGAAAGCCTACTATAGTTCTAAACACTGGGACCCAAAAATATATATAATGTGATTCTATATACACATGCTTATAGACGAGTGCCAGGCCTACTCCAGTCAAAAGTTAAAATAGCATCGAAATCAAATGCCTTTATATTGAAAGCAATTAGCAACCAAGTAGTGTTTAGTCTTTATCATCGATGCAAAGGTGTTTAGTCTTTATAATGTGATTCTATATACATATGGAGGTCTCTCACGGAAGCTGCTCTCAACCTGGCGTTGGTACAGCCTACTATCCTACCTCCCCCTTACCTCATTACATATGTGAATAAGGGTCATCTAATTTTTTAGTGTTTAGTCTTTATCATCGATGCAAAGGCGATTGCCAATCTAAGTTCTCGTCCGGGAAATCTCTCTGAACTTCTTTGGGAGGGATGAAGCAATCGATGGAGAGTCCGGGTACATTGAATGCAACGTCATCGATGGTCCATATCTCTTCCATGCGAGTGACTGAGAGGCCTGCCTTTAAATTATCGCCAAATCTCGTGATGATAACATTAGACTGACCAGAATGTGCAACCACGACACCTTCCACTAACCTATAGTCTTCAATTTTGGTAGCCATTGTTGTTTCCCAATATGTAGGGTGTGTTCCAGGTGATTGAATCCTGGTCAGGTAAGAGTCTTCTAGAAACACCAGGAGCCCACTTCTTTGGCTGAAGTAGCCGAATATGACGTGCTTGATCATCTCAGCAGTGTTATCACTTCGATCAGCCAAGTCCACTTGATCAGCAGATAGTTTCAACACGAAGCAATCGGTTCCGGAGATCCGTTTCTCTCCCATGTACTGAGCTGAGGAAAATACAGATGATATTGCCATGGGATCCAGTCCCTACAAGAATTATTTGATACTTTTTATCATAAAATGCAAACATCAACAAATGAAAATTTTAGGTAGTGGTTATTGATGGTCAAAACTGAAAACTACTTTTTTCTACTTCCAAAGCAAAATGTGTTATGATTTTCATAGTCCGGAATATCATATATTTGGGGATCATACCCCCACATCAGAATGTGTGTCGAACACGAACACTTAAAGGAAACTGAAAAGTCCGGATAACATAGGTTCAAAAGTTTCACTCCACAATTAGTCAAGTTAAAAGGAAATTTGGCAACCTACCATAGAAATGTTCTCACACCTAGTACTATCTTCAATCATGTATAATGATGTAGAATAATACAATTAAGTTCTCCACTCTAAAAAATGAGACAATTTAAATCCTAGAATGTGTCAGGGAAACCACATCCAATATTTTGGGTTGCTGGATCTGGTTTAGGGTAAGATCAATTACAGAATAAAGAGGTTTAGACTGGCTTTTTTATGTTGTAAGAAGGGGGGGGGGAGTTTACACAAGCTAACATCCTAGTGAACAGGAACACAAACATCTTATATATGCATATGAGAGAATGATTCCAACACTCATATTTTGCACGGAAATCTATGATATTGGACTTTCAGCTCAGTGCAAACATTTTAAGTCATCCAAGTATCATCAAAAAATTGATCTTATACACATTAATCCTCAAAAGAAAAAAAATAAACGATTCCAAATGGTTCCTTTTTTGAAGCTGATCGGACGATTACATGTAAAGCAGTTGTCATGCTGGACCTAAAAAATACAAGTCAAGATCTCATAGATTTAATTCAGAAATTATTAAAAAGTAAAGAAAAGCGCCCCAATAATTGTTTATACCAACAAATGGGACCACAGTAATAGTTTTAAGCTAACAAAAGGGACCACTAATTGCTATAGCAATGGGAAACCAATGAGAAAATGAACATGAAATTATAACAATGATTCCCATATAACTAAATCAAACAAAGATCACTTGCCTGAAGAGCTCGGCGTAGGGGACGAACACCGCCTTTGGCTGCATGTGCTCCTAGCCATGGTGTGCGGCGCCAAGCCATATTGCCATCGCTACCCGCTATAACCTTGTGACCTCCCACAACCAATTCAATTAGCCATTTATTAGGTACCATTTGCCACATAACAAAACAGCCTTTTTGGGCAACTCCGGCAGCTCCAGCCACCGAACCTACTGTGGCACCTAGCTCATCTACCATCGCCATTGTTACTTTTCCAGTCACAAAAATGTTCTTCACCATCCCTTCCAATTTCCGGCATCCAGTTGCTGCTGTAAAATGTTGTATAATGTATTGAGCTGAGGATGATACCTGTTATGCACAAGAGTTTTGATTCTTAATTGAATAATGACTGCTTTGAGTTGAATCCAAAAATTCCTTCAACAATTCCAATTTCAAGTTATTGAAAAACATGAAGCATTTGCTGTATGGAGTATAGGATTGAATTAAAACCAACCAAAAAGGGAAACAGATCAAAGTTAGGCATGGTCAGCACACTATTGTTTTTCATTTTCATTTGCCCTACAAATTTGGATTCTTATTTTTCACCATATCTTCAACAAAATATACTTGAAATCTAACAATGACAGCTCAAGGGGTCCACCCATAAAAAGAAAGCACTTAATTAGAGCAAGTAAAAGGCCTTTGGATGCTGTTTAACACTGATTCTAAGGAAAAGGATCAAGATCCAAGCAATTGATAAGTAAATTCCATCTTGAAAGTGTTCATTTTGAGGAAAATAAAATCTAAAAAAAATAAGGGGAGGATGACTTTTTAATTAATTAAATCTCACCTAGCTTTTTACACAAACTCAACTTGATAAATAAAAAAGGACCCACAAAAAAAATTATTTTTTTATTTTGGATGCTTTCATGGTGATAAGCCGGTGGGGACTTGAGGCCGTATAAGTGGAGAGGCACTATTAACTATAGAAGCCAGCCCAACCAATAACACTTTATTACCAAGCCATTTGTTACTTTCAACAGATTCCAAATTAAAAAAAAAAATGAACATAATCTCTGGTTACAAAGAATAAGGGAAAGTCCCAGAAAAACAAGCTCCAATAAGACTAAAAAACCTTAAAACATGAATCTAATATCAAGTGATCCGCATACCAATAAACCTCATGCACAAGAAATATTTAGGAAACAAAACGAAGGAGATATCGATCAGCATTTCATGAAATTGAAAAAATTGTTAAAATAAAAGAGAAAAAGATATTGGTTTACCTCATTGATGGGTGGTTTAGAAAGGGCGGACACTGGGAAAAGAGGACAACCCAAAACGCTTAAGAGGATTTTAAGATCAGACTTCCTGTTGAAGACGAGAGAGAGATGGGTTTTGAGCCAGGTTTTCCATGACAAGCCTCTCTTCGAATTGTTTGCAGAGTCTTCTTCGTTTATGGGTTCTTCTGATAACGGTGCCAAACGACTCATCTGCCTGCGTTTTGGTCTCTGTTTCCAGACAAAGAAAGAGAGAAGAAGAAGAAAAGAAGGAAGTGAAGTAATGATATTAAAGAAGGCAGGCAGAGAGAAGAAAACCGGTACTTAAAGGACGTTGCTTTTGGTTTATCATATTCCTGCACACGCAGTTTCAGTGCGTGCAGTTCAGCTTTCCTTTTCCTTTCTTTCTTTCTTTCTTTCTTTCTATATATATATATATATTACTTTTTTCCCCTTTTTTATGGATTCAGTTGAATTTTTGTCTTATAATATATAAATAATTTTATAGTAAATTACTTTTTTTAGTATCCAACTATCACTTTTATTTTGTTTTGATCACCTAATTATTTTTGTTTTCAAAATATACTAATGTTACGTTTTGGTTTTATTTTAGTCACTCATTATTAAAAAGATTAACGGTGATGATGATATGTTACCATAAGATGATATCATGTCATCATTGTTTTTTTTAAATGTCACGTCAATAATTCTATTAATTTTTTAACAATGAGTAATCAAAATAAAAATAAAATGTAAAATTAAGTATGATTTTAAAAAAATAATCGTTGAGTAATCAAAAGAAACAAAAGTGAACGTTGAGGTACTAAATGTATAGTTTACGTATATTTTTATTATTTGTTTCCTTTTCTGGATTTGATTCTCAATTGAGGGATAATTGGATAAAGGAAACTAAAATATGTGGTTTGCTAATTTATCATTTGATATATTTTATAGCTTTAAAAAATGGTTTAGCTCACCTATTTATAGTTTTCTTCTGCCTGTGCGTTTCATTATGTTTATCTTTATTATTTAATATTCATTTTTAAATCATACAAAGATAATTTAAACTATCAATAGAAAATTATCAAAAAATAAATAAAAAATCACTTTTAAAAATACTTTCAATCAAACTTAATGGTTTCAAATATGAAGATCCTTACCTTAATATTTCAAATTTTGAATAGGCTAAATGGCTTACTATTAATAGTTCAAAATTTAGTTGGTACAAAATTCGAATTTAGACATAAGAGTTTTCAACATCAAAGTTTAACCTTTAAATTATACTAGTATTTCAGTTTGATGTTTAATTAAATAAATTTTAATATTGTCTTAAATTTTAAATCTATTATATAATTTTTAAAAGTTTAGTATCTAAAAATATGTTTTTGACATAGTATCGAGTAGTACCGATTTTCTAGATATATTTTACTTTCTATATTTATTCTAATTTTCACATTATGTATTTTTAGAAGTTTTACTATTCTAATAATCTAGATATATTTTTTATATTTTATAATATTTTATTTTAAAAAAATGAAATAATTGATGTTAATATTGACAAAAGATAAAATGATTTAAGGGAAAACTACACATTTAGTATTTTAATTATCATTTTGTTCTATTTTGGTCACTCAAGTATTATTATTTTTTCCAAAAATCATATATAATATCACGTTTTAGTTTCATTTTGGCCACCCATCGTTAAAATGTATAGAAGTGCTAATGTGTATTTTTTTTATAAAAAAAAAAAGCAATGATGACATGATATTATCTTATGGTGACACATCAACATACCTTTAATTTTTTTAACAATAGGTGACCAAAATAAAACAAACACGTCAACATAAACATCACGTTTTAATTTTTTAACAATAAGGATGAGTGCATAATGGCTTTGGATTTTGGATTTAAGTGATTAGCACAACTTTTAGAAGGTTGTGACAGGCAGCACTTGAAGTTGCATAGGTAAATTAGTTGTGCTATCAAATGTTTTATGTTCCTTGTAAACTACTCTTGATTAGATATAGAGGTGGAGCCTTAAGTTAATGACGTGGTTCCAAGTCTTTCTTAATTATTTTGTAAACTTTGTTGATGAATTTTCTTTAATACCATTTGTTGATGTAAGTGGAATCTTCCACGATTATTGGTTCAAACTATTCATCTAAAATATTCGATCACAACTTTCTATAATTATTTTCTTATCATATTTTATTTAGATTGAGATGTGATTATAGGGGTTTACTTGTTGTAGTCGTATTTTTTTTTTAATTTTATTTGAACAAATTCATTATTTAACAATATGTGGATAATTTTACAAGATATTTTTAAGATTTTAATAAAAAGTTATTAATAAACAAGTTAATCAAATTATTACCAAATTGATTTCAAATCGATTTAATAAATGGTAATGGAGGGAAGGATCACCATGCGCAGTCTGCTGCAATGAAATATCACCCTGCAATGCATAAGGAATTTTATTTTTATTTTTATTTTTATTAATGTAGGGTAAGTATAAGGCAATATATGTTTATATATAACTCTTCATCATTTTCATCATTTGACATTAAACGTTCACATACCTGATATTCCTAGTGCTCGAATCCAGGACCTTAAGAAACATCAACAATTCATTTACTACCAAAATCATTTGATTCGTACTACTTATATAATTTAAACCAACAACGAGCACCCTAAAAACCAGAGTCTTTATGAAGAGTGATGGAACTTAATGATAGAGATTGGAGGGTCAACTTAAAACTTTAAAAGATTTAGAAGTTTAAATTAAAATTTTCAAAAATTTTAAAGGTTTAGTTTATATTTTTCTAAATATATTAGGGCTTAACTAAAATTTTTGAAAATTTGAGAGGCTGAATAAGAATTTTCTTTAAATAATGAGACGATATTTAATTAAAAAACATTTAAAGTTTAATTTGAAATTTTAAAAATTTAAGAACTACCAAATTAATTTTTTTTTAAATTTAAAAAATTGAAACTATGATTTTTAAAATTTTGGGAGGCATAGCTCCCACTAGCTTTGCTTATGTTCCACCTATGTTTTGAAGTACGATAAGTACCTCATTATCCTCCTTAGTGTCAGTTTGACACAACTTTATAAAAGTGAATTTAAAATTACTGAAGAAATCAAATTTTAAAATTATTGTATAAAAGTGTAATTTAAATTTTAATTGTTTGAGATTATTATTAAAAAGTACATTTAAAAGGATAAAATATTCATTATAGACATTATGTTATAAATTAAAAATATAATATTTAAATTATATTTACACTTATTAATACTATAATGTATAAAAATATAAAAAATATACTAAGATTACTCATTAATAATTTTTCTATATATAAAGTATTTTATTAAGAAACGATATATTATCAATGCTTTTTAACACGTGGACATAAAATTATTTTGAAATAATAATTTAAATACTTATTTTGTCAAAAAGAATATTACAAAAAATATTAGTAATTAAAATAAATTTTTAAGGATGTTAATATTAAATTATTAAAATTAAATGTATATATGTAATTAAGTGAAATACATGCATTATTAAGAGTAAAATTATAATTTGTTTTCAAATGTAAAGTTGAAGCTGAAAAAACTAGAAATCTTAGTTTTTGCGGTTGGTTTAATATCATTGTTTCCACTATATTTTTTTATCCGTTTAACATTGATTTTACGATTAAAATATACTTTTTATAAAATAAACTTTTAGATAGTCATGCCAGACTGGACCGTAATCATAATTTAATTATATTTTAAATTTAATTAAAACAATGCAATATAATATTGATTTAGATAAAAAAAAGTGAGGTAATGTATTTTCCTCACCAACAAGACAAGTTGTAAGCGGTAATTATAAGATGGTAACCTCGTAGCAGATTTTGCTTCATTTTCCTATTTAGTACCTCTACAATTTCCACGAAAAACACATACATGAAGTAAAATTAATCATAATTTCTATTTTAAAAAATGTTTCAGTGCACGATATGATAATTTCGAAAAGACGTTCGGACAACGTAACGAATTCTTTTAAATTGTATGCATATCTACAAAATAATAACATTATAGTATTGTCAAAATTTGTTAGTGATTCGTGCAATTTTTCAAAGTTACCATATCGCCCAACCGTCTTTCGTTGTGTACTATAACATTCGCACTATATAAAAAATATTTTATTCAGGCACCTTATATAAAATAATTTTTTACCACATTATGTAATCAATTTTAGCCGCCACAGATTCATAAATAATAAACTTGTTCAGTTTTTTTATTTAAATGTGTAGTGTATTAAAAATAAATACTAGTATTTTAATTTTATTTAAAATTAAACCTCCTCTCTTATAAAACATAAATTGAAAAAATAAATGTATTTGGGTAAAAGAAAACGTGAAAATTAGGGGGATTGGCGCGTGGAGGGGAGACAGTAGAATGTGGTAACAAAGGGTTGGAAAAGAAGGAGCTTTTAAGGGAGGCAAGGCTGCTGGTGACGTGTCCACGTCTCTTCTCATCAGCACTTATGGCTTTGCTTCTGGTAGTTTGGTTGCATTTGCATTCCTACACTCCTCTTTTTTTTCTTTTTTCTTTTTTTTTTTTTGCTTCATTGCTTTCCATTTTAGTTATCAATTTCTGGCACAAGCCACTTATTAATTCACATACCAATTTTCCTAACAACTTATTTCTCCCCCTTTTAAATTTATTAATATTTTAAAAAATATGTTTAATATATAAGAAAATTCTAAAACGCTCGACGAGCACCGATGGACATCACTAACAACAATGAACATAATTAATTTAATAACATTTAAAATTATAAAAGAGATAAACGTATAATTATAAATTAATTAAATTTAAAGATAAATTATTTAAAATAAAGGATAAATTATATCAGTGACCAACTAACTATTGCCCATTTTCATCTTGATCACCATTTTTGAAATTTTATCAATTAGATCACTCAACTATTTAAATGCATTTGGTTAAATTATTTGATATAATTAAACATTTAGTCAATGTTACTTATGTATTCTATCAATTGGGTCTTAATTTTAATAAATTAAAATAAACTTAACCCTCAACTCAAATCAAATGGTGCCATGTGCACTAGTGCCAAGTGTAATAACATGCGTGTCACCATCTGATTGAACGATTAATTCATTTTAATTTAATACATTTCTCACCAATCATAGGGTGACATGTGTCACCCTTTAGAGGAAAGAAAATTTTGAGCGCTTAAATGATGTTAGGGGGAATCAAACCTAGGGTTCTTGGTTAAAGAAGCAAAGCTCAACCATTTAAACCAAAGTAGTTATTTAATTCAAAATTGACTACATATATTATATATGTTGTATATTAGGGTAAAGTTAAATTCTTAATATTT